GGGGGGTGTTAAATGGAAGTAAACGAACATCTCATCTCGAGGCCTCCAGCCTCAGAACCAAGTCTCGTCGAGAGAAGTTGGAGCACAATTAATAAAGTTTCTAGAGTCATTTACATTGCAGATTCAAAATGACTGCTGCTACTAGGTCTGCAAGCGTAACACGGCTAAGTTAACCAGGCAATCGAGTCAAGTGGAGAGAACACGCTTGGAACAGAGAAGGAGAATTTAAAGCAGGGAGATGTGAAGTGACAGCTGCATGAGAACAGTGAGCAGCTCCACTAATCATATGCTCACTTGCTATTGGAAGGACAGTCAATCACACAACAACAAGGAAGCAAGATCGCAGCTGTGCTTTGTAAAAATGCCCTGACCATCTACGAGAACATACAGCAACACTCGCTGCTTCACACAGGCAGATTTCCAAGTACAAAATGGTTGATTGTGGTTTGAGGGAAAACACAGAACCAATAACAAATAAGTACATGGGAATTCACATTGTCTTTGTTTTACATATTCACACCATCTCCCCCTCCCCAGCTCGAGCGGTGCCGCTGCTTCTAAGGTGAGAGCATGCAGCGAGGAGGGAGAAGAACAGCGGCAGATTTGCTTAAGCATGCTGGTGCCCTCTACCCTCTGCCCCTTCCCACAGAGAGGGGGGGCAGAGCTATTCCTTGGAGGCCCCGCAGAGCCTGAGGCCGGCGCTCTAGCAGCAGTCTCCATCAGTGAGTCACGGAGCAGAGGCCATCCCGGCACACAGGCCTCCCAAAAATACACACAGATCGCAGAGGAAATCAATATCCCTCCAAACGGAGCATCCTCTACTGTGCTGCCGCCATCTACACTGGGGCTCAGCTTCGGCAGCAGTGTGCCGGCGGGGCTGTGCGCCCTCCTCAGCCCCAGAAATAAACACACAGACCTGGGCCACTGCTGCCTTCATTATCGCTGCACGTTTTATCTGCTGGCTCTCTCACTTGTGGGCCCTGCGGCAGAACATCTCGTCTCAACACGGAGAAGAGCAAAGGGTGGATGCTTTTGTGTCTGTTTTGCTGGAGCAATAAGGTTTTGCTGCTGTTGCCGTCAGAATCAACAGCCAGCTTAAAGGAAGAAGTTAAGAGTGGTGTTCTAGTGCTGTGCTGGATTTTTAAACACCTAGCAAAACCTAGAGGTGATGCACATAACAGACTGACCAGAAAGTACTCACAATCACTATTTTGCCTCTAGCTCACTTGTAGCCACTCTACAAAGGAAGCCACACAGCTCAGCCCAAAGCTGGAAGTGAACATTGTGTTAAGGCAAGGATTTTATTTAGAAGGACTGAGAGCAGTGGAGAGACTATCAGGTGTGACCTAGCTGTCAAAAGCCACTCTGAATAAAAGTGTGTTTAAAAAAAACAACCAAACAAACACAAAGAAAAATCTATCCAGCTGGTGACTGTTGTCCTTTACAAGTGAAAAAATGTCTGGATCTAAGTAAGTGGATCAATCTTTTCCAAACAAGTGACAGTCACAGAGACAAATAGGAAGGCTACACAGACAGTGAACAATACTATACATTATAAAGGCATTAACTACAAGTGACTTCTTTAAAAAAAAACAGATTAAAAGGAAGAATGGCTGTCTCTTATTCATTTACACTCAAGTGTGTGTCGTAGGTTTTTCCCCCCTTCAGAATGAAAAAATAAACTGAGTGAAAATGGGGGGAAAAAAATTCAAATTTGATATTGAAAAAAAATCTAAAGAATGCAAAAGTACTTCATCCTGACAGCAGGAGTGCTCTCCTGAACACTCAACCAAGCCAAGTCCTGGAACATATGCACCCTGGGTCACAAACCCACACGCTCAGTCCAACCTACATTTTACTTTGTCTAGTCACTCAAAATGGCTCCTGTAAAATTTGATGAGCCGTGAGCAAAGCAAGTCTGAAAGACTTAAAAGCTGAAGAATCAAGGAAAGGAAAGGAAAATAAATGACAGCTGCAGAATATCTGCTTGGATGCTGTCTTATGCTTTTAGTATGTTTTATTCTCAAAACAATAATACTGAGTTTGCCTGAGTAGCACGGAAGTATATCCTAACAAGTAAAGCCAGGAGACAAGACCAGCGACACTTAATCTCATATACAAACACTGAACATTAGGATGACATTTATTTACCAGCTCAAGACAGTATGCTCATTTAAAGTGAGGACTTTTGTCAGTCGTCACTTTAATTTCTGGAACATGGACATTGCTTCACTTATATACACTGAGGAAGGTTACAGCTTGGTTATCTATGGAAACCGAGTCCAGCCCCTGAGGTTTCCCAGAAAATATGAAATCAACTCTTCAATGCTCAATATGTATATTTCCAGGTGACAGATGGCCTGTTATGCCTGAAATACTTATACTACAGCTTTACCATGGAATAACAACATTACCCACCGTTTGCAAAGGAATTCATTTTCTCCCCCTTGTTGGATCATTGTTGTGGGAAAGGTTATGAAATCATTTTGGTTCACAGCAAAATATGAAAAGAAAGGGGAATATTTTTAAGGCAACAAATGTGAAAAGCCTAGAACACCTACTAGCGGGGCAATGAGTCAAGAAAACACAGATGGAAAAAAGTCAATCGGTATATGCCTTAGTGTGATCTCCTATGTTCTCTCCTGTATTTTTTTCCTCTTTTCAAACCCTCCACAGCGTAGTGCCTTGAGGATCCACACATGCAGTGCCACTATGATTCACATTATAACTACCTGTGGCGATGATTCTAATCAAAAAGTGAAGGGCGCCCAGCAAATAATATGAAGAGCCCTGACAGCCAGAGAGATCTTCACAGAGTACAGCTGTGGAAGAGCGAGCAAGAATACGCTGTACCGCTTACAGTTCTGGAAAGACAGACATGCCGGTCTGTCTGCTGCCGGCCCTTAGGACAAAACATACAAGAATAATAAGAAAAAAGAAATGGTTTCCCAAATGCAAGCGCTGCAAATATCTAAGCAGAAAGAAAAATATGTAAAATATGATATGAAATGTACATGAAGGACGGGACAAGTGTTGGGAGGATTTCAGGTTGGGTTTGTCAGAAGTAGGCTCTGAGAGGTTTACAGTGTTCAAGCTGATCATAGGTACTCCACCCCGAGGGAGGAATAAAATTCCTGTAATCCATCAAGAACATATTGGGTGACCTACCAATGCAAAAAAAAAAAGTTTTTACCTGAAGCCAAATGTATTAGGAAGTAATGCAAGAAATACAACAGACCTCAGCACATAAGCTGTGAGTTACTCTTGTGAATTTTGTGGCAAGGCATGTTTTCCTCTTCAGAGAAGGCCCATCCATTGTATGAGTTATTTTAGACACCAGTGAGTCACAAATGCATCAATTTTCACAGCTGATAACCAGTAGCTTGAGCTTATAGAGGATCATACCACAGATGCTTTTCAAAAACAGCAGAAGGAAAGACATACGGATAGTTTTTAGTCCACAGGCAGCACAATATTGACAAATATGAAAACATGCATTTTCAAAAAAACAAAAACAAAAAAACAAACCCTTGTTTAGTGTCCTACTTTGCTTGTTAGAAACAGAATTTTTTCAAACGATTTGAAGAAAATCACCGTGTCAAAAAGCCAAAACAGAAAAAGAGCAATATAATAAAGATGCCAAGTGTGGGAAAGAGTCTTACCTTTTCTTGGTTGAAGGCATCCATCCTTCTCATGGCTGTATCTAAAGCAGTCATAGAGTCCAGGAAGGCCTGATCCTGCTCACACAGCGGGTTACTCAAGAGGTCTGCGGAAATCTTCACTGCTGCCTTAGACATGGCTGTCAGCCATGCAAATATGCATGCAACACACAAAGCAGAAAATACTATTAAAACACAGTTAACTTCGTGAAAACAGAAATACCGATTTTGTAAATGGTTACTGAAGATGTCTGCATCTACACATTTTAATCTAATTCCATGTAAGACTCTTACATTGTTCTGAAATTGTGGACGCAATTTTTGTGGATTAAACTGAAGCTTTAAGCGTTTCATCACTTTATATGAAGTAGGGTATTCAAAAGTGAGCCTGTCGGGAAGTGCACAACTCGAATGGCACAGTGCTGCCCCCATTGTAAAAATCTGAGGGGGTGGTGGGGCTGCCTGCCGCGCTGAATATTCACCAGTGCAACGAGAATTTTTTGCCATTTTTCTACACTGACAGCATCAATTACCGTTAATCTGCACTCGTGCCACTTTGTTTAGACACAGAGCATGTATCAGTATATGGCTTCACTGTCAAAACAAATGAGCTGCACTGAGGAGACACAAGCTGACGACAGGAGCTGCACTGAATATGGGCTTTACAGAGATTTGGAACAGTCATTGGTCATTTCACACTCCCCTGGGACCAATTTTCAACCAATCAATTATCACGGTGTAGCGTTTCTGCATCTCTCTCAGTTTGCACAAGTAATACATTGCTTGATCTGACAAACATTTTAATTACAGGGTCGTGAAAATCAAAAGGTGACCTGAGGGCTCGTTATTAGCAGTGAGGGAGAAGGTGAAATTCATGTCCTTTACAATTTCCTGAGGCAAGAGAAGTTAACATATTTTATTTGCCTTCTGTTATTTAGCCTAATTTGGCATGTGTACAGGAGCATCCCTTAAAAAGACATTACTGGCCCTCACCAGATGACTGTCAGCACGTTCGCTAGAGTGCTGCATATAAACACATTTGGCTTGATACAGAGAGAAGTGTATTAAATGCAGTGCTGACATGCAGAGTAGGTCCAGTTCTTTGTTTGGTAGCAGTTAGTGGAGATGGGACCTGTGCAACAGATGGAATCCATTAACGATAATGAGGCCCTGACAGCTATGACACTTTGATGATGCAGACATTCATATTGCAGAGCACAAAGGAGAGGAAATGAAGAAGTCTCTCACTGCTCCATCCGTCCCCGCTCTTCCACCCCCACAAGTGACTACTTACCACAGGCCATATCTACTACCACTTCCCAAATACAAAAACACAAAACCAGCAAATCGGCAAATAAATCTTTAGTAAACAAGAGTTTTGTGGCAGACAAATACATGGATAAATGATGGCAGAGATGGTAAACCAGGATCCCCAACTGAATATAGATCACATGGTCAAAAAACAAAAAACACACCTGCTATGACAGCTACAAAAGCCTAAAAAAGGAAATGATTAAGGTAGAGACTCACACACAATTGTTTCATGTCATATCATTTGGAGATCGAACACAGCACAAGAAAAAAAGAAAAACACAGGCACCCAAACATCTTTCTGGCCCTGAAAAACATGCCAAGTAACATCAAGTATGTTGGTGAACAAGTGCTGATCAATGGCTCACCAGGCGGCAACGCCAAGTAAGTGACAGAACATACCTAAATCTGCCTCTGTGCTTTTCTTCATGTCTTTGTGAAGCTTTTTCGTCTGATCCTCCAGCCTGTGGGACAAGCAGAAGACTGATTATCAGAGCGCTTCTTGTCTCGTAGTACAGTAAAGAATCAGTTATCCTAACTTGGATTAATTAATAACCTATACTGAAGTCAAGATTTACTTTATGAGCTGTAGGCATGCATTAATACATCAGTCAAACGTTGGTATCTGCTAATGTGAGCCTGGTTTTACTGATACCTTCAGGTTTATCAATTGATATATGCTGTTTAAATGCTAAAAAATTGAAATCAAGGCCTGAACTTTTAAAATTTTTCCACTGTTACAAAAGTAGGAATGCATACTTTCAAATTGATTCATCCCTGAATCCCTCTGAACCCGTTCAGTTGGACAAAAACATTGACAAGGATAAAGAAAACACAAACCTCGAAAAAAGACATAAAACAATATGGATTAAGAAGGAATTACACATTCGACTGATTCCACATAAAATCTGTTAGCTAATTAACAATAGTGTGAATCCTTCAGTCAACTACATTTCCGCTCAAAAGCATTAACGTCTTCAATCATTCCACTGCACATATTCCATTGATGTGTGTTAAAAATGGCAATTACCAGACTATGGAGGCTGAAAACACATGCCATTCATTATATCAATTAAGGCAAACAAGGGGTTTAGAATCTCCCCTGAGACTACCTTCATAACACTACTCCTATTTGATGAAAAATGTGGTGCAGTCAGGTTTTGCTTCCATCCTTGTTTTTCAAGAACAATATTAAATAGGAAGTCAGTAACGGTAATCCCATTTTTGTGCATGTCCACAAGATATAAAGACACTAGCAGAACAAGTAGAGCTCTTTCAGAACTGCAAACCAAAACTGGAAGTCAAGCGGCTCCAATTAAACGTTTTAGATTTTTTTTCGGTTTAGCAGCTGGGAAACAAAGAACGATTGAGGATACTGACGGGTACACTAACCAAATCTAAACTGTTAAACTGAAGGGTTTGAAAATGACTGCTGATTAAAAAGCAGCATTTACAGGACCGTAAAGAAAAGTTCAAGTCTCCCAAAATGCAACATACAGACAACTTTGGTTTTAGATTTTCATCTGCAAATGGATTTTCTTTTATTCTTTTGTTTGTTTATCCAAGAAAGGACAAATAGTAAAATTATTTTTTTATATATATATATATTTTTAAACAGAACATGTTCTCTTTAAGCTTTTGTTTCTTTTGACGTTAAAGGATTTTATACTAAATCACCACAGACCAGATGGAGGTTGTTCCTAAAATGTCATTTGCAGTAAATGATGTAATTTCATCCCATACTGTTCACACCACGGGAAAGAAAAAAACAGTCTGTCAGAACAATCTCCACAGTAACTTCTTGTGTCCCTCTCACCAATTAGATAGAACTAGGTCTCACAAGCTATATTAGGCTTTCTCTAAATTAATGAAAATGCACGCTTATGTTTCAAATATCCAGAAACAGGCATTTCAAATTGTAGTAAATTTATCATCAATGCTTCAGGCAAGATTTGGAGAGTATCTAGTAATCAAGAGAGATTCTTCCTGTGTTCGTCTCACTACATTAAGTCAATTTTTAGCACATATTTGGACGAGGAGAGTCAGTGTGACAAGTTCAGGTCATCACAGTTTTCCTCTGTTGTTGAGAACATTTTTGCATCAATTAAACTCTGACGTGACATAAAATCTTCATATGATAACATTTTGTTGTTAGAGCCGCAACTTGATAACTGATTCTGACATTGTCATAAACATTTTGAAATTGTAATATATTGTCAATCTTAGCATTTCTGTCTGAGATTACATAAAGTAGAGATATTTGACAACTCAAACTAAATGTTTAGACTGCAATACTAGACTAAGTAATACCAAGCAAAAATATAATATCAGGAAAATTAAAAAAAAAAACATAATCCTGCCAGTCATGCATATTAGTTTGTAAGATAGTGGGTGAAAGTATCTTACTATGTAAACAAACCAGTGCGCTCTGAGCCCAGTACACTCAGAATATATTCTTGTGATGGTTATTTGTGCATGTGAAAGTCATGTTCCAGACACTACCACCTACTTAAAAATACTGCTGCATTTTCCCTTCTCTGTCAGAACTGATGGTGAGAGAGAGCCATCCTGGATGAGTGCCATGCCAGCGTGGAGTCTCTTCCCAAAAGGTGCTAATAGAGTAACCTACTGGAACAGCTGCTGCTCCTTGTACCTATGCCCCAAACCTTCTACCCATGCAGCCACAGCCGCCATGCCACACAGGGTGGTGAAAACGAAAGGCATTCAAGACTTTTAAAGAAAATTGCTGAATATATCACTTATACATTGCAACATGACCATTTTACTCTGATTTGCTTTCCGGCTCATTGCTTTTCACACAAGACTGAGGTTAGAAACTGCAATTCCATGTAAATCACTCTAAAACCAAGAACTGTACCAGACTAAATCAAATTTTAATACCTCTAGACATGACTAATTTAAGTTTGTCACTGAAATAGTTTAACTTTTTTCACATATTAGGACATTTGGATTTCCTATACTGCTATTACAAAATATTGATCTTAAAAAGTGATCAAATAAAATCGACAAAGAAAAAGTAAAACACTGTGATCCAAATTGGTTAAGTTGTGGAATTTCACTTACTGTTCCACAATAGTGTTTAAATTTTGTCTGAACCCACAAGTCAATACCTACTTATACTTAACACATATGAAGTACAAATATGCTTCACTACATGCAGATAACAAAGCAATGATATTTCAGGCTCAGAGGAAATTATCAGGTATGTTTCCAGCAGGATGTACACAGGATATGAGGGCAAGATATGACCATCATCAATTTGGAGGATGCAACAGGTTATAGAGGAAAAGTGTGCACATACAGAGAGACTATATACATCTGCATGTAACCTTTCAGATCTCATTTGGGGGAGTTTTGCCTGTTCTTCTCGTCAAGGCTAGTTCTATGAGATTGAAATCTGTTTTACACTGCTGGTACTACAGATAATAGAAAATAGAGCTCTCTATGTTATAGATCATAGAGATTATTCAAACACTAAAATTAAAATGATGTTGAAATTGGTCTATACTTCAATATGGGAGAGTGTTAAAGTACAGATTATTTTTGTACTAGAAGAATTTAAATGTCTTCAGTCAGATGGACAAACTGCAAACACAGGTATCAGTTACTACTAAGTATACTGCATTTAGACCACAGGAGCACCATGAAGTGTTGATATGGATCTCTAGGGTGGAGAACCTAAATGTCTCTACATGCCTGCTGCTCTGACTCATCTATAAGGTCTATTGGCACCACACCTTCCTGATAAAGGGCCCTCCTACTCAACAAAACCTGAGAGGAAAATGATGCTCCCACTCATTTTGCTGGGCCCTCAGGGAGTTTTTGTAACCTCAGCCTCCCAGTAAGACTGGGCCTGATGTACTGAGCTTACAAGTTTTGAATTTTAAATGATGTGATCCCTACTTGCCTTTGTTTCACAGAGAAACTGAAATAAAGACCATTAACAGAATTTCTATATCCATGATGACATTAAATTGTAAAAATTTGATATTTCAGCTGTGGCCAAGTTTGAAATGTCTTAATATTTCATGTCAAGAAAAAACAGTGTCCAAAACTACCAAAAGCTAGAAAAGAAAAAAAGAAAAACTACATGTGCAAAAAGGAATACTTAAAATGTAAATATGCAGTCAAAATAACTGTTAGTTATTTCAGATTTCTTATTTACTTTATAATCCTGACTAGTAATTGTAAATTAAGTCATTTCATGAGAATAAAATAAATAATACAAAAACATTACAGATTTTTTTTTGTTGGCAGAAGGACTAATGACAGACATTAAGATATTGAATATATACAAAGCACCAAGCTAAAACAAATAATACATGAACATGAAAACACTTGGTAACACATGCATATTTTTGTAAAATATAAAATGTTTATTTTAATACCAATGTAACTCTGAATAACACAGAGAAACTTTAGTCACTATCTACCTCATTAGTCTTATAAAGCATAATGGAAACTTACTTTTGGAGTTTGTCATATTCTCGCTCAAAGTCTCTTTCAACCTAAAATAAAGAATGCATTGCAGGTATATTAGCATTTTGGCATAGTACAAATAATGACTCCAAAAATTGTAACGGACAATAAATACATGTGCGAAATATAATTGTTTCCAGCAACAATGATTACTTCAGAAGGCATTTGTTTTCCCACTTGGACATATTCACGGTCTTTACCTGTAGGATTATGCACCAGGATTGACGGACAGTGGTTTGAGCAGCTGAAATGCAGGTAAAATAACTAGGTTATGTTTAATAAATTATTTTATATTTAACTAAACCTCTTGCGTGGATTCCTTCCTTTCTTGTCCAGGATCTTTAGACCTACTGGTAAGATTAAAGTTTGGGCCCTTGTTAATCAACTTAGTTTGCAGTTTGCTAAATGGTCATCTAAATTGAATTGCTTTTTGAGTACAGCCAAAAGTTGTTATGGTATTTTAGACTGTGACTAACATCTTAGGAAGTTCTAGAAGTTCAGATCATTAATATTGCAGTTCTAAATAACATTAGTTTGGATCGGTTACATCAATTTAGAGTTTTTGCGGTTGGAAGAGAGCAGCACTAGTATTTTGCTCAGCTGTTAAGTCCATGAATTTAGGGTTTCAGATATCCTTTTTGGCGAATATAGCCAAATGAGTCTCTCAGTTAAGTAGGTTTAAGTGGTTTATTTGTAGACTTAAACTTGAATAGTGTTGTAAAATATGTAACTTGGTAACATTTTGGTGTACTGCTGTGGTTGATGCTCATACTTTAATTACAGCTTTGGTTGTTTGATGCTAGAAGTTTTTCAGAGGAGTGTTGTTTGGGAATGTTTGGGAATTATATTAGTAGCAATTTCCAGTGATAAAAAACAGTTTGGCCATGCATTACTGTATGTGCTAACCAAGAACACTTATGTGTCACTACTCCTTAATTTGTACCTGGCGTACAATATTTAACTTGTTAGTTTTGTCTGGTAGCTTTGACTCTATTAACTATTTTGAATTGCTGTGAGCTTTGCAGTAGCTTGGTTATCTCTTTGTTGGCATCTTGGACATTTTGGTTAGTGTGGACGTTTCTGTTTGGAGTAACATTTTGGTGTGCTACTGTGGTTGACGCTCATACTTTAATTCCAGCTTTGGTTATTTGTTTGGCTGGAATTTTTCAGAGCACTGTTGTGTGGGGGTGTGCATGTGTAACTGCAGGCTATGTGGTGTTGGGCACTTGTGTTGAGATCTGGTGTTCATTTAGTTTTTTTATTCATTCTTCTGAGATTAACTGATTTTCCCATTGAATTTATCTACAAGACTAGATTTGCTATTCTGAGGCAGATACTTATTGCACTCTTCTGTATACCAGTTATATTACTAGCAACTTTTGGTGATAAAAACCAGTTTGACCATGCATTACTGTACGTGCTAACCATGCACTCGTATTCACCACCACTCCTTAATGTGTTCCTTGGGTAGGAAAACTGGATCTGATAAAGTGATTGGCGTCAGGTTGTTCTGGTTGTGTGGTAGCCATTGTAATAAATAAATCAGGACCCTTCCACACTCACTCAAGGGAACGTAAACTATAGAATAATCTTAATAATCCATACAACAGTGACACCGCTTGTACTGAATGTATACAGTGTTTTTCACTTTTTAAGGTCTTTTTTAAACCTAGATATTGCGGTGTACTATAATGCATCATGTACCGCAGAATTATATCATGATACAATTGCCTTTGTAGGTATTGTGATAAAACTGAGCTGTTTGTTAATCTGTGACTCCCACAGTAAAACTTTGCTTTAATCTCAGAGTTAATCTGAGTTTGGACCTACTCACAGCTGTCACCATCTCTCCCACTCCATGGTTTTTGCCTAGGATGGCACAGGAAGCTGGAATCCCTGTCTCACAGTCTAAATGCCAGGCCACAAACCTATTATGGTGGAAGTGGTTTTCTCCAGCAAGAAGAACACCCTCTCACTGTCACTTCAAGGTAACCACCTCAGCCCCCTTGAAAGACTTAGACAAATTGACATCTAATAAATCTTTGTGGACGACAGTATTTAGACTACTATTCGTGTGGTCTGTGCCATTCGTGAAGCTCAACAACTACAGCTTTTAAACTGCTGTTTTACCTGAATGTCTGGATAGAGTAAAAGTTTGTTCTTGTGACTTACAGTTTTAGAGACAATCTGTTTTTTTGGTTGTCCAATCTTGAAGGGGATCCTGAAATGAACACGAAAAAACATGCAATGAGTGCTGACAGATACAAGCAACAGGAAATGATTACCAAAAAGGTGAGATTAATGAATGCTTAAATTGTCAACAGTTGCATGATGACCAACTAAAGGACAGCTCAGGTCTACCGGTGTATTAGTGCCTCTTTTAGATCACTGACACAGACAATCTGAGGCTGTCAATCCCTGTTCCTCTCACACATGTTGTCAGTGACATGTACATTAACTTTGTGTCATCACTGATCACATCTGGCTGCCACTGCAAGCAGATGTCACTTAACAGAAGTGGTTGTCCCCTCATCTGTGTGATTTTACATGACCCCAACTGGCAATCAAATGCAGATGTTATAACATCAAAAAAATAGCAACCCTCCCCCCCCCTAAACCACCTTCATATACCAGGACTCAAAAAGACAAAGCCATAACAACAATCAACACCAAAACATGTTACGAGGCTCACTGTATCTGCAATAGTTTCACATAATTTTCAGGATGAAGTACAACTTTTCTTCACTCGGGAAGCAAAAGACACAGAGATTCTACTTTCAGTAAAAAGAAAAAAACTTGTTTCGTCTTAGTTAAAACACAATCTTTTATCCCCATTTCAAAACCCTTGCCTATGCCTTAATAAGTTGCTGCAGCGCATCAGAGTGCCTTGGATATCCATGAGACAGAAAACACTGCCTTATCATTGTGATTTGCTCTATGTTGTACGTTGTCATTGATGTTGCACTAATGGTCTGAAATCTAAGCTACATGATGGACAGTTGCTACTGACAGCCAGGGTGAGGCAGCAGCTGTGTCAAAAGAAAGGTGTGTAGACTAATGAGATGGAAAAGTGAGGGTGTGATGTAGGACCTTATTGTGCAACCAGGGAAAGCTACAGATGTGTCAGGAAGATCCTTTTGACTACAGCTCAATCACAAAACTCAACATGGTCAAAAAAAACCAAAAACAGTATGATTAAGCCTGGGGGGGAAATACATAAAAAAAAAAACAAGTTTCACTGGTGGCTTAGGAATTACATTGATTTTGACGTTCTGGTACTTGATATTATAACAAGGACTTTGACCTGGTGACAACCTTTTTTTGGTAAATAATAATAATAAAAAGAATAAAAACCAGTTACAAATCCCTGAAAACATTTTGCTGCTTTCGCTCGGGGATTAGTTTCACCCACTATGTCACTACTTGGGTGAGCCAACATGGAAAAAAACCCACAGAAATTACTCAGCTTCATCTGACTCACCTTTCTCCGATGAGGTGATAGGTACACTGCAATGTCAAACTACGTGCATTACATACCCACGTACCTGTCTTTGAAACTGTTTGGGATTGTTTACCCAAAGCACAACAGCTGGAGATTTAAACATGGAGAGTTTTAGATTGGTGTTCTCCCAAAGTTAAAACAAGAAGAAACAGCCTCCACACTGCCACACTACCTCTTGTAAGATCAGTTAAGATTTAAGACAAAACAACCATAAAAGAAGCACTTCAGCCCAGTCAGACTGTATAAGAAGAAATCAGCAGAAAGTTTATGACTTAAACCACACATTAAGCATTGACTACATATCCCATCTATTAATATAGCTGAACATACATTTTGTGATGATGGTTCTATTTGTTAACGCAATCTTTTGTTCTGCACATGCATTTACAACCAGTGATCTGCAACACTTTTACTTTGAAGTCTATGTGTAGAATTAAGCTACAGTTTAGGCACAACTTACAATTAAAAAAAAGTAAGTCACTACAGAAATGAAAGATACTAATCAGTTTTAACAATTAAGCCCAACTACTGGTATAAAATGAAGAGGAAAAAGTAATAGAAATAATAAGAAATTAATTAATTAAACAGAGAGAGTTGCCATTTTTAATTATGTTTATACGTTTTTTGTACGGTGCATGAAATGACTGACTGATCTTACAAGATCAATATAGTTGTCCTTAAACCAAAAGTTCAGGGAACTGATTGGAAACTTTTTGCCAAGATTGCCCAACATTTGGAAGCAGGTTTTGAGCTTGTTCTTATTTAATGGGTGTGTCAAGCTATAAATCATGACATCCACAGCAAAAAGACAACAGAAGGGTATTATGCAAGAGTGCTTTACAAAGGAAAAGAGGTACGTATATTTAAATGTTTGTTTTAAATGCTCTTGGGTTTTTCAGTTTCTCTGCAGTTTGGATCCAAATGTGCTTACATCAAGAGGATCTGTTAAACTGTCACTATATTAGTGTGAATTTTCCCTTTAATGTATCAAATGACACACTTGCTTTGGGGGGAAAAAAATGAAGGAAGCTTGTAACATTATAGATTCAGAATATGTGCACTTCAGCAAAGAGCCAAAAAAAGTGGTCACTCTCTTCAGCTGCTCATGAGAACTGGCAAACACACCGGGTGAAGTGTGCTTTGGGGAGGGCAACTGCAAGCAGAGAGAGAGAATGAGAAAGAGGGAGGATGGTAGTCACTGTGAGAATCATTTCTACTGTTTCTTCACACAGCAATATTTCTGTAGGGGCTGTCACATTTAGAAACATTGGTAAGCCCAGTCCTGTGAACTCAGAACTAGAATCTGACATGGCAGAGGACTGGTCAGATGACTGCTAAAAACAAAGAAAAAATGTGCGTTACACCAACTCAAATCCACAATTTTCTGAAACCAAATTTAAGCCAAGTGATGACACGCATGAGTAGACGCATAAATAAGGATTTTTCAAACAACTATGAAGACACATGATTAAGGTCACAAATAACAGTGCCAAAACTTCCCAAAAATACATATGAACTAAAATCTAAAAGGTCCATAGTTTCTATGAGTCTTCCAGACGTACATCTTCATCTTGTAACTGTGTACTCTCACAAAGCAGCAGTACTAAAAATATGCTTATCGGACGGTAAAAGCTACTGTTGCCGTCTTTCCTATTTAATCCAACGTTTTAATCGATCACCATTAGACCTAAGAGTAGATTACCATGTATGATTGGCTTTTCAGAACCCAACCTGTTGGCTAGGTTGAAACCCTACAATAACTCTCTCTCTCACTTAGCCAGAGACCCAGCATAGCAAGAAGTCGTTTTTAAAGAAGTATCAAAGCAATAAAAAATGAAAAATCCCACTACTGGTAAGAAAATAAAATTAGATGCAGAGATTTGTCAGCTCGGTCTTTAGCCTCAGTCTGAAGTGACAGCTTTTATAACTATGCAAAACATATAGACATATAACTATGTAATAACATGGATTTAACCAAATAACTGGGGAGAACTGCAGTGGATCATGATTCTGCCCGTTCCTTGACCAAGACGCATTTAAACTGGCTCTTTACACATGCAGTCATTATCAAAAAGTTGGTCATCTCACATTTAATGAGCTATCTAATCTTTGCTGTAATAGAATACACGTCACTGCTATCAACAAAGCACGTAGGCAAGAACAAAGACATAACAGTCTTCTTGATTCTGGACACATAATGCACCAACTGGAGTAACCATTGGCTTTTCAATAAAACTGCAAATGTGTACACCATTAGGAAGATAGTGCATCATTTGACCTCAGATATTCCGTGGAGCACAGAAGGCTAGTTGAAGATGCTGGGAAGTGGAATTGTTCTGATGATGACCCTGAAGTCAAACCGCTCACGTCATAGAACCAAGTGTGCAGGCCCTGCTGGAATGCATCAGTCAGCAGAGCCCATGAAGGACTCTTTTCACTGGGTGAGCACCCCACTCTTGACCTTGCGGTTGGCGGTGCGTACTGGTAGATGTGTCGTTTGCCAGCTATTGACCAAATGACTGAACTGAATGACGCTATCATGGTTACTACTTACAGTCTTGCCTGAATGACACTAAGAACCTGAAATATATTACAAGTGAGTTAATATACATACGCGTCATAAGTGCACTGAAAAGTTATCTTCTTTGCATTTTCTCTAGAATTACAGTCATGAATTGTGAGAGACAAAACATGAATTATGCAAATTTCCTTTTAAATGTGTAAAATGCCACATGCAATTAGGGGCTGCTATGATCAACCCCTGTTATTTGTTTAAAAAAAAAAAAACAACATAAAAAACTGTATAGTCATAATTTAGTCATAAGTTCAACTAAATGTAAAATATGCTAAACAAGAGAGAATGCAACAGTTGTGAACATAAATATGTTTCAAATATGACAATCAAAAAACCAATCAAATGTGTGTTTTAGTGGAGTGCTGGTAAATGTATGTCATTTAGACAAGGATCTCACAATAAATGTTAAAACGAAGGCAAAGTCCTGCCTCTTCCTTATGTCACATCTGTTGTCAGTGTTTATCACTCTGGTTAGAGGATGAAGGGAAACTATCCTTCTAGCCACAAAGTACTGCTCACAATATTGCACAGACTGGATTATCAAGCCTTTATATTAACGTTCTTAATTACTAATGTCTGTTTGGATTATAATGTAGCTTATAAACAGTAGTCTTTCCCTGACAGTCTCTGGAGTAACTTTGACACAAAGAACTCAGGGCAAATACTGTACAAAAATCCAGTGTATGGGATGTTTATGCTTGCTCCTGAGTGCCTTGCTTCAGTAGTAATCTTCCACTTCCATTGTCAAAAGAGAGCAACACTAGCTAAGCATACTGGGTAGCCACTAGCTTCAGCCTGGACAATAGCTGGTGAGTGTTTACAGACAAGCAGGTGTCATCAATGCAAACTACAATGCTACACTGGCAACCTACTTTTGGCCAAAGCAATTGCAAGGAGGTTCAGTAAGGCTACGTCCACGCCTCATTTCTGTCTGTTATTTATTTACTTTCTGGCTCTTTGAAACGTCGCAGCAAAATGTCGAGGAAATGCAGAGTTTTTTAAATGGACTAACAATGAGGTGGAGTTGTTGCTGCGAGTACCACTAAAGTACAAAAAAGTACAAAGCAAGTGAGAGTTAAAGAATTTGAAGAAAAGCTATCTGGAGCATGTAGAAACTGATATTAATCTTTAATAGGGCTGTCAA